AAAAAAAAGGACAGGTTACTTGTATTTGAGTGCAAGTGTGACTGCTCCTTGTTTTTTTTTTTTTTTTTTTTTGAGGGTCCAGGGCCAACTGCATTGCTCTTGATGTAGAGGTGCTCGTATGCTCGTGGGTATTCTGGGTCTCTTCAACCCAGAGTCCTTTGTGGCAAGGCCTTGTTATTGCCTACTTCTGAATCACTGCTCCTTCAATTGGAGTGGGAGATAGGATACACTTGCCGGTTCCCTCACCTGTTTTAGAGCATCTCTCTGAGGTAGAATAGCAGGTGGTCTGGATATAGGAGCAGAGGATGCGGGGTGGAGTTTGTTTTTTTTTTCTGAAAACTCTTCTGGGTAATTTGTGTCAATATCCAAGCTAAACCCTATCACATTTAACTGAGAACTGCTGAGTAASAATGGGAGATGACAACTTTCTTTCATGAAACTGAGTGGATTTATTCAGCTGGTAACCAAGGACTCCTCCATCCCAACACCCTAGAAGCCTGTGTCTTACTGTTATCATATTTTTCTGGGGGGAATGGGGGTACCAGGGATTGAACTCAGGGGCACTCGACCACTGAGCCACATCCCAGTCCTGTTTTGTATTTTATTTAGAGACAGGGTCTCATTGAGTTGCTTTAGAGCCTTGCTATAGTTGAGGCTGGCTTTGAACTCACGATCCTCCTTGTCTCAGCCTCCTGAGCCACTGGGATTACAGGTGTGTACCACCATGCCAGGCTTACTGTTATCATTTTTAACTATATTGTAAAAAAATGGCTATAGTGTAGATTCTGAAAAGCAAAATCAGAGATAAAATCTAACTGGCTGGCTTCTATTACTATTAATGGCTATTATTCCCAGTAACTTTCTAAACATTACCTTTTGTTAGAAAAGCAATGTTTGTTGTAGAAAAAAATGTACAAAAATAATTGTTAAAACCCCAAAACTATGCAGGAAATGCTAATCCTAAACCAAAAATAGGTTAGAAGTATCACATCAAAAATGGTAAAAAAGGATCTGGGGATATAGCTCAGTCGGTAGAGTGCTTGCCTCACAGGTACAAGGCCCTAGGTTCAAACCCCAGCACCACCCCCCCGCCAAAAAGGTAAAAAAGATGGGTGTTATGGCGCACACCTATAATTCCAGAGGCTTGGGAATCAGAGAGGAGGATTTTGAGTTGAAAAGCCAGCTTCAGCAATTTAGTGAGGCCCTAAGCAACTCAGTGAGACCCTGTCTCTAAATAAAATATAAAATGAGCTGGGGATGTGGCTCAGTGCTCCTCGGTTCAATCCCTGGTACCAAGAAGAAGAATTAAAAAAAAAAAAAAGGTAACAGGTAGCTAGGCACACTGTGCACACCTGTAATCCCAGAGACTCAGGAGGCTGAGGCAGGAATATTACAAAGTCGAGGACAGCCTCAGCAACTTGGCGAGGTCCTAAGCAACTTATAAATAAATAATAAAAAATAAGAAGAAAGGGCTGGGGATGTGTCTTTGTGGTTAATCACCCCGGGGTTCAATCCCCAATACAAAAAAAACAAACAACAAGACATTATTACAGACACTAGCTCTCTATTTCCAAAGAAGACTGCCAAAGGCTCAAGAGAAATCAATGAAATGCCAGATAAACACAGGCACTGGTGCCCCTGCTAGTTGTGGTGGTATTTTTCACAGGCCTCCTTACCCCCATTTCCCTCCTTAGCAGAAGCAAAGCTGGGCCACACCACTTTACCTACCCCCATCAGAACAAGGGCTTCAGCTTTAGCTTCTTCTGTCTGAGGAAGATGAAGATTCATTTCATCCCCATCGAAGTCTGCATTATAAGGAGTACAAACACACTCGTTAAATCTGAAGGTCCGGTGGGGCTTGACTCTGGCCTGGGAAATACAAAACAAAATGGGAAAAGGACTTYGGCATGCATTCAAAAATTGGTTTCAAAACATTGAAAAATGGCTTCCTGGAAAACTGGACACTTTAAGGAAGTAAATTTTTGGTATTTATTTATTTATTTTTTGTTCTCTGTTGCTTTGCCAGGCGCTAAGCAACTTAGCAAGCCCCTGTTGCAAAATAAATTATAAAAACTGGCTGAGGATATGGCTCAATGGTTTAGTGCCCCTGGGTTCAATCCCCAATACAAAAAGAAAAAATCTTTTCAGCATTTTAGCTCTTAGTTAATATGCAAAGTTAAATCAAAAGTCAATTTTCTGGCTGGGCACAGTGGTGCACACTTGATTACCAGCAGCTTGGGAGGTAGAGGCAGGAGGATTGTGAGTTCAAAGCCAGCCTCGGCAAAAGCAAGGTGCTAAGCAACTCAATGAGATCCCGTCTCTAAATAAAACATACAAAATAAAGCTAGGAATGTGGCTCAGTGGTCAAATGGCCCTGAGTTCAATCCCTGGTAACCCTTCCCACACACAAAGCAAATTTCCTGCCATATATGTGGTGCTGAGAATTGAGCTCAGTGCCTCACATGTGCTAGGCAAGTGCTTTACCACTGAGCCACAACCCCAGCCTCACATTTTTATTTCCAAGTAAAACGAGTTACTTTCATACTGACTTTCAATTAGATCTTCTCTGTTGCTTTGCTGCATATACATTTTACATTATACTTATTAAAAGTAGCTAAAGTAAGCTTAAAATTAAATAAGTTTCACTCAGCTAAACACTGAGAGGGAGGTCACATTTCAAAAATTTGACATGATGTGCAATTTTAGGAGTCTGTAATTAAGCAGTGAATACACACAGCAAATTTTTACTTGAAAGAAAATAAAAACAATAATCCTGTACTCACCAGATGAGCCATTATACTCAATTTGTGCAGTGAGGGCTGCCGATTAAATAGCACCACGTCTCCATCTATGAGGTGTCTCTCTACAATGTCACCATACTTGAGTTCCTGAGCCATCTTTTCCCGATTTCCGTATTTCAAAAACCTGAATGTGCAGTGATAAAGGTGACCTGTGACATCAAAGTTCTCCTTTGACACCAGATTTTTGCCACTAAGGATTCAATCTCTAAAACATTTCATTAAATCAATCAAAGACACCTCCATTTTAAACTCAGAACATTAATTTTTGTGCTAGCAAAAGCTATTAAATTATGACTGTTGGTTTAATATATTTCCTAATTTTAGAAATGTTAGAATATGAAAAAAATGTGTCTGAGAATCACAGAAATATAATAAATCAGCTTCTCCCGCAGGCCCTGCTCTAGCGGTCAGTTCATCATGCTGCGTAAGCCACACTTGGCCCTGTGAGTGCCACGGAGTTAGGAGTGCACTGAAGGAAGCCTAGAGAGCCCAGTGACACAGGAGATGATCCACTTTCATAATCCAAGGTATTCTGTCACCTAGGCCTGCTAATGTTACATGCCAGGGAACACATGAACACTTCACATATATCAAAGATCAAACTGAGCAAGTGACACACACAGGCCCATTGAAATTTAAAGAGATTTTTCCCATATGTGGAAGTGTCACAGTCATCGTACTCTGGACTGCATACTGTGGTTGAGCAGGTGACAGTGAACTTGGTCATGAGAACACAGTTAAATCTAACTAGACTGGGAGAGCATTCATTACCTTTTCATTTGTGTATGTCTCTGCTGGATGAAATTAGCTCCTGGGTGAACTTCAGGGCCATTTCGAACCAGTTTCCTCAAAAAATTGATGTTTGCTTTGTTTACCTGAAAGACAATTAAAAACACAGTAAGATATTCTCAGGTTTCTATAAGCCTGTAAACTACTGATTGTGTCCTAATCATTCCTTGAGTAGATTCTAGAAGAAAAAGAAGCTCCCCTGGGCAGCCTGCTGTCTTCGGTCTTAAGTTTAACAGTCTCTACTCAAATCACTCTCTTGCTGAGTCCTGGCCAAGTCCTTTCTGGCCTTTGGTTTCCCCATCAGTAGAACGAACAGGCTGGACTGATGCAGAGACCTGTTAGAACATTCTGTAATCCAAGAAACAGGTGGCAATTTCATCTGTAATTGTTATTATTGTTTAAATTTTTTTTTTGTAGTTGCAGGTGGACAGAATGCCTTTATTTATTTATTTTTATGTGGTGCTAAGGATCGAATCCAGTGCCTCATATATGCTAGGCCAGTACTCTGCCACTGAGTTATAACCCCAGCCCCTCATTTGTAATTATTTACTAGAGGTGCACTGTCTGCCTTAGTCACACTCTGCTGCCTCTTGGGTAGCTGTTTGTAGAAGGGAATGTCAGAAAAAGAAACTCTTGCATCATTTATAACTCAACTGAGGACACTCAGCACAAACCTCACCAGAAGCATCTATTATCTGGGCTAACTGAATCATAAGGGCACAGCCCATCTATATGCTCTTTTTATCAGGCCCTGTAGCCACGTAAACTTTCATAAAAGGAGAGGACTGTAAATACCATGATATACTCAATGTGAGTGCGAACTGAGTATAAATGGTGGCTGCCTTTCTAGGTATACATCAATAGCCTTAAAGTGTTCAAACTCTTTGACTCAGTTATTCCACAAGTTTAGAAATAATAATATCCCCCCAAAATTAACCAAATGTGGTGTTTATTAATTACTTTAAGATGAGACATAAACCAACATAGAGAGGTATGTACAATATTAAAAAGTGAAAAAAAGGAGCAGAACAGCATGTATAATGTATACGGGTATATGTATATAAAATCAAATACAAATGTGGTGTATATGTCAAAGACACAATATGTAGTTTATGTGTACAAGACAAACTGGGAAGACACATATATTCATATAAATGAAACTGTGGTTGGGTGGTTGTTTGGGGACTTTCCTCTGTCTATAGTTTGGAATAGCAAAACATCATATAAAAGGCTGGATTTAAAACAAAGAATCTGGAAGCTGGGGATATAGCTCAGTTGGTAGAGTGCTTGCCTTGTATATACAAGGCCCTGGGTTCAATCCCCAGCACCACAAACAACAACAACAATAACAAAAACCACAAAGAATCTGGAAACTAATTGGTACTTACCTTCTCAGGAAAAGTCAGTATTTTGGCCACATGCACTGGCACAGCTACTTCATCAATTCGGAGGTTGGGGTCAGGTGAGATGACTGTTCTGCCAGAAAAATCCACTCTCTTTCCTGAGAGATTGCCTCTAAACCGACCTAAATACATAAAAACATGTCATAGGTTCTCACAGCATGTTGTTCATTGTTTGGGAGTAATATGAACCTTGACATTGAGGAAAGCCAGTGATCTCTAACTAGGTAAGCCAGATGTACATTCTACACAAGGATATCAAAGACAGTAGGCTATCTTCTACACATTTTGTGAGAAACCTACCTTGTTTTCCCTTTAGGCGCTGGACAAAACCTCTGGTCCATTTTTTGGGTGCCATGTTGAGGGGAATACCGGAGAGCTCACTGTTAATATAGAGGGCACACTGCAACTGTAGAAAATCCCAGTCCTCCATGATCATCTGGGTCTTGGCTCCAGAGATCCGATGCTAAAATAAGCAGTGAAATATCAGGAAAAAGGCTGATCATTTAATTTTTCTTGTGTTTTCTTGACCAGAGGTTTGGGAGAGATACACTACAAACACAAACTAATGGGAAGCACTGACCTTTTTAATAACATCATTTAGGAAAATGATTTCTGTCAATTTCATCGTCAGATCATCTTCATTGGTGCCAGACTTCAAATCACTCACGACGGAGGGTCTAATACACAAAGGAGGCACTAAAAGTCGTGTGAGAATCAAATCAGAGGGCTTTCCAGCTTCTGGATTCATCAGAAGTAGAGGGACATCTTCAGCAGGGATTCGTTTAAATAAATTCAGAACTATTAAAGGATTCAAGTTTTCCTAAGGGAAGGAGGAACGGAAGGAATGGAGAGAGTAGGTTAGTTTCCAATCGGTAGGGCATGCTCTTCCTTCTCCATGCTCTCTAACCTATTCACCACTTAAATTAGGGCAAGTGGCCAGCATGTTGGTGCAGGCCAGTAATCCCAGCAGCTCTGGAGGTGGAAGCAGGAACTTGTGATCCTCTTACCTCAGTCTCCCAAAGTAGCTGGCATTACAGATATGCACCACTATGCCTAGCTAAAATCTGTTCTTAATTGTGAAAAGGTGCAAAGAGCCTGACAGGTTACTGACTAGATAAGATCTCAGTATATCCATGTATGGAAAACCATGAGAAAAATTATATGCAACAGTTCATAACTGTAATTCCAGTGATTCTGGGGGCTAAAACAGGAGGATGACAAGTTTGAGGCCAGCCTCAGCAACTTAATGAAATCTTTCCCCCAAATCAAACGGGCTGGGGATATATCTCAGTGGTAGAATGCCCCTGGGTTCAATCCCCAATACCATAAAAATAAGAAAACAAAATAAAACAAAGACACCACAGAAATACAGTTACTGACATAAAAAGTTCATAAAATATTGGTAAATGAAATAAGCATGTGTATGTGTGGTCCCATTTAAAAGAAAAATATACGTCTTTGCAGAGATGAGGAAATGGAAGCATTTAATGAGGTGTTGAGTTGTTAACAGGTGTCTCTGAGTGGAATTATAATCTTTTTACTTGTGTTTTGATACTTTAAAGTTTTAAAATGAGATTAAATTGCCTTTGAATTAACTTCATTAATAAAAACACTACACTGTTAAAAACTCACTTATAGGAACTATGTAGATTACCAGAGATCCTATGTCTTGTTGTCTACTCATTAAATTTTCTGGAGGGATGGGGTGTGGTTGTGCATGTCTTTATTCCCAGCAACTAGGGAGGCTGAAGCAAGCAGAAGGATCACAAGATTGAGGCCAGCCTGAGCAACTTAGTGAGACCCTCAGCACTCAGAGAGACCCTATCTGGAAAAAAAAAGGCGGGGGGGGGGCGCGGCTGGGGATAATACTTCAGTGGATAAAGCACTCCTGGGTTCAATTTTTAATTCCCATTAACAAAAAAACCAAAAAACAACAAAACCAAAAAAAAAATTTTTCTAAAAATTTCTACATTAAAATAAATTAATTTGATTAATTTGGTAGAGGGATTTAAAATTGAGTGGCTGAGAGTGTATGTTACAAGTAGAATTGCTATACTTAGTGAGAAGAGAACAAAGAAAGAAATATTTGAGTAGCTATTGACATTAGGACCGCAGCAAGAGAAAGGTAGGGTAGTCCTGCTCTGGAGGACAGCAGAGTGTAGCTGGGAAGATGGGACGAACCCCAACAGAAAGATCTTTGCCCAGGCCCTTGCCCAATGTGGATTCCCTTCCTTAGCCTCCCTGTTCCCCAGCTACAGGCATTTCATTACCACCTGGGGCAGTCAGGTAGGAAATTAACAGAACCCTAAAAATGGGACAAAGGCCAGACTTCACCAAGAGTACCAGACAGTACCAGACAAGAGATTACAAACATCCAGAACTGAAGGGCATGAGAACTAGCAAGTCTGGAAACCACTTCTTACCAAGAGCAGTCACTCAAGAGTGATGTGACAGGATAGAGTTGGAAAATACCATGGTAGGTGAAGTAAACCAATCCCAAAGGCTTAATGTTTTCTCTGATAAGTGGATGGTGATCATTAATGGGTGTGGGGTGGGGGCAAATGGGAAGAATGGAGGAACTTTGGATAAGGCAAAGGGGAGAAGGGAAAGGGAAGGGGAACACAGGTAGGAAAGATGGTGGAATGAGATGGACATTATTACCCTAGGTATACGTATGAAGACATGAATGGTGTGACTCTACTTTGTGTTCAACCAGAGAAATGAAAAATTGCGATCCATTTGTGTACTAAGAATTGAAATGCATTCTGCTATCATGTACAACAAATTAGGAAAAAAAAAAAAAAGTGATGTGACAGCTGGGAACAGTGGCATGTACCTGTAATCCCACTGATTTAAGAGGCTGAAGTAATAGGATCACATGCTTGAGGCCAGCCTAAGCAACTCAGTGAGACTCTGTCTCAAAATAAAAAATAAAAAGGGCTGAGGTGTAGCTCAGTGGCAGAGCACCCCTAGATTCTGTCTCTAGTATTTCAAAAAAGCAAAAGAAGAGGGATGTGATAACAGCCTCCTGAGAGGCACACATCTGCTCTGCATCAGGAAAAAGAAACTAGGAGTTGCTGGCAAGAAGCACAGGAAGGCCTCATTCTTGGCCTGCTTGTGATTTTCCTATACTTCATCATCTATGTGAGGAATAGAGTCTATTTATGCCCAGTACAGCTATAATTTTTAAATATTTTACAATAAAAATTAATAAAACTTATTTACTATTAGAACTAAGGGAAATAAGAAAAACAAGTGAGGCTACAAGGGCCAGTTAGTTCATAAAAATTTAGTGCCAGATAAATACCACAGCACAGTCACATGATAATTCCTGGGAACTTAATTGGAATTCTCATTTCTTTTGAGAGAAAGTGGGCATATGCAGGTTAGGAGGAGGTGCGAGAGGGAGGGGTGGGTGAGTGACACAGGGAGGGCAGGCGGAGGCCAGCATGCATTTTCAGGCTCACCTGTGCCCTTCCCAGCAGTGGCTCGACTTCTTTGTTATGCTCAATGGCCGTTTCGAAGGACTGAAGGAAACTTGATACAATAGGATCTACCACTTTTTTGTTGGTCTTGTATTTCTCATGAATTATCTTCAGTAAGCCACACTTCTTTACAGTACCTATAAGAGTTCATTCATTTACCAAAGATTAAAAAATTCAGTTTTTTAGGCTGGCCAGAGGTTAGAGCCTAGTTAATGGAATTGCTGAAATTACTATAGCAATGAAAGGTGAGAGATGCATTTCCTTATAGTACATTTGTTGCTAGGCTCCTGCGCCTAATTTAAAAGGGGAAAAAAACTGACTTCCAAATATAACATAAAGCTAATAAGATAAAGATTGAGTGAATGAAAAGGGCTGTCACTGAACCTCCTGTGTATTCCACTCACCATTAAAGGCACCACAGTGATGGCAAATACTTTTCTTCCGGCACTTGTCAGAGATTTTCTTCTTGAGGCCTCGCTTCTGAAGGTAGGTCAGGCCAGGCCTCTTTAGGTAATCCAGAAACTGCTGCTTCTCCTCCTGGGACAGCATGATATGGCAGCAGGTTTTGCAGATCATCTTTTAAAAATTAAGCAGAACAGATGATAAAAAAAGATGAATTCTTTCCTTTATAAAATGACATTCTCTTGTCCTGTAGATGGGACTGGTTGACATCATACACAGATTTGCACATAGATCTGCACAGAGAGGCAGACTGTGTTCCCAAAATGTTAGTAGGACTCATGACAAGGTGGTAAGGTTTCTGCTAATTTCTTTTTCTTTGCGATGCTCAGTATTGCTTAGATTATTATTATTGGCATTTTTTTATAATGTATAGTTACCACCTTCCCTAGGGGAATAAAGAACCCTTAAGTGAATTTAATGTAGTACAAGATGAAAACATGATGTATTTAGTATAAAAATTTCCCCATATGCATTCCTCATTGCTCATAGTTTCAAGGTTCACTCCATTGACCCTGACAATCACTTATTTCTTGGAAATAGGACTTATTTCTTGGAAATTAGGATCTGTGTGCTTACCTGTAAGATGCCTATTACAGCTCTGAAGTAACCCACATGAAAACATGGCAACTCCAGGTCGATGTAACCATAGTGACCTAGACAGTCAGCTAAGTTTTTTCCACAGGTTTCACAAGGACGGTCCTTTTCACTGGTGCCCTTTGGAAGAAAACAGCAAATGATCAACAGAGACCACTGGATAGGATGGGAGCTCAGTCCTCACACCTGGTGGATGACTCAGCATCAGAACCAAACGGAAGCTACAGTGTATTCACATCTGGCTAATGGATGGCTGGAGGCCCAAACTGTCTCAGATATGCAGGGGAGCCAGGAAGGAAAGAAACCCCGGCTACTTCCAATCTTGTAAGTCAACAGATTAATCAGTAGGTCAAGACTTAGGCACTTAGAGGGGAAGGAGACTTACCATCCTGTGGTCAAGCACCCCATACAGTAAGGGGGCATGGTTGTTGTCCTGGCTGTACAAGTTCTTACTCACAACCTGGATGTGTGCCTGTTGGCGCATCTCCTCAGGTGACTTCATTCCAAAACAGATGTGGCTTCTGGAATAGAAAGAAATGGGAGTTACAACATCAAAACTTGTAACCAAAAATTGTGATCATGCAGCACACCAAACTGCCTTTCCAACTCTCTCTTTAAGCTCTTCCTCATCAATATTAAATATACTCAAACTTTTGCTGTTTTTCCTTCAAAACATCCTTCTGTCCTACCAGACTATTTAATGCATGGTTCTCACCAAGGTCATAGAGGTGACCTGCTTGCTGCAGAATCTAGTAAGACCTTCCTCATTTTATTGCTTTGTGGCATTAGCAGTCCATCTCCTCCCCACCTCCATCTTGAAGTCCTTCCTTCTCTCGGTTTTAGGGACACCATACTCTGAGTTTTCCACCCCTAATTATGCCTTCTTTTAGAGGCCCACCCTACCAAGGATTACAATCCTTGTCCTCTTTGCATTCTATACATTCCTCGTAAGTGATTACATAACTTGACTATGTGTCAATGTCTGTCAAATCTCTTTCGGTCAGCCACTTCCATTCTATTGGAAACCTGTACAAGACACCTATTCTGGACATTTCCACTTGTATATCTCACAGGCATCTCAACTTGCCATATCTAAAATGGATACTTTCCCTCCCATATTTCGCTCTTCATTCATTCTTCCAATAGATTGAGTTTTTGCTATGGGCCAGACACCACTCTAGGTGCTAAAGATTCAGATTAGATAAGATAAATAAGTTCAGTTCAGAGTGGTGAAGACAAATAATAAATAGATATAGTCAGCCTTCTATAGCTGTGGGTGAGGAGACTCCTTCACACAGCTTCGAATCTCCTGCTTTGTTCTCATCACACCTTCCAGTATGTTCCTTGAAAAAGACTGCTTGGTCTGCCTTTTTCTGCCAGGACCCATTATGTGCTCTCAAAACCCTCTCTGCCTACCCTGATGACCTTTTTACTTTCTCCAACTAGACAACAAAGGTCATATTCTTGTCCTTTTTTTTTTTTTTT